TTTGGGAGTCTGCTGAATGCTGTTAAGTAACACAGACAGAGAAACACAAACAGTGGATCTCTACTTTTGCGTATATAAATGAAATCCAAGGCAACATTTAACACTTGAAATGATTTTATGGTAAATAGATCATTCAGAAAGCAGAAGGTTGGAATAGAAATCAAACCTTAAGCCCTGTTCCTCCTGCAAAAAGCTAAAACATTTGGTCTGAAAAGCATGACTTTCCTTCAGGCCTCCATGCTGCGTATGTTAGGGAATGGTGAATGTCACCTAAGTGTCAAATATTATGTGGCATGTAGTTTCAGGGGCAGCGTGGTTTAGGGTTGTGGCTATTTATAGCATTGCACATGTGCTTCACTAAGATCTACAAATAAATGTCTGAGGCAGCCTGTTTGAATGCTGTGGTGGGCTCAGACTGCAGAGCGGGTGCACACATGCCACAAAATACCTGATTTAATAGATTTTTTTTATTTCCTGCTGCTGGAGGAAAAGGATCGATAATGTTTGTGCTTGTGTTTGTCTCTTCAGTTGTCTGTAGTGTTGGCAAATTATCTCATGAACCAGATTTGAATGAAACTCTCAGAAAGTACTCATTAAATGTATATCTACAACTGATTACCATTTGGATTCAACCCCTTTCAAGATAGCTGTCCCTACTAAAGTGACCTTAGCAAACACAAGATATAAGATTTGCACAGAATTACAGACTTTTGTATCAGTTGAACCTAATAATCTCTTTTACATTTAGAAGATGGCTGTATGTTTTGAATGTGAGATGAGATATTCCTGGCCAATCTTTTTTTTTTGTTTGTTTTAATTTTTTACAAGCTTTCAAATAGGTATCACATCTTTTGTGCTGTTCTCAGACATCTGGTTAACGTTATGATTCAATAACTTGATCTTAGCAGATCCCAGTCATCACAAGGTGAGAGATGGGTCTAACGTGAACAGGTCACAAGTCCGTCACTGTTTATTGGATTTTAGATGGAAAACATCCCTTTATATTATACTAAAGCAGGATAATTGGTCACTTAGTAACTGGTAATATTGAATGAGCAACGCTTGGTTTGTGTTTAATGCATTCACTCTGATGTGTGTGTTATTTTAACAACTTGATATTAGGACTGTAAATTAAACATGAGAATTAATTTGCTTGTTTCAATAATAATAACAAGAATAATTGTCCAGGTTTTAAAGTTTTAGTTTTAAAGTTGAACTTAAGGTTCCAATATTTTTTTATTTTTTTTTTGGTAAGCTTTTCCATGAAAGCTGTAAGTAATTCACAGAAATGGCTTATCACTACTGTAACAAAGCAGACATTTTTAACGTTTTCATGCGAGCCGGTGATTGACGTGCCTTTCAGCACGACAGTATTAAAGCTTTTATTTACTTTTGCTAATTGAATCAAAAGAAAAAGTTCAACAGCTAAAGTCCAAATTGTGCAGTTGTCTTAAGATTTGATAATGTGTTTGATAAGGATGATAACGTTGTGTGCTAAGAGATGATTATATGTGGTGACACTTGCTGTTTGGAGGTCAGAGGTTGTTTGTTTGCTGTTTGATAGCTGCTTCCATTAAATGACTATTATAGTGTTATTAAGAGACTTATCAAAGTCTTATCAAAGTCCTTGAGTATTTTCATTCTCAAGAAGATCCTCAAGAGGGCACCACACTTTTAAACTCAAATGATCATTTTTGTTCTTTTTGTTTTATGAGAAAACCAGATTAAGTACAGGAAATAATCTTTAGAATGTTCAGCTCTTCTACATTATTCTATGTCTGATTAATTTGGTTTTAGAAATATTACAAAACTGCTTCATCTGATTGCTGGTGTTAAAGTGAGTTTTATGAAATGCATATCAGTAAATTCTCAATACATGAGCGTTTCACTTTTCTTTGGTTCTGTAAAAATTTCAAGGACAAACTACACAACATCTGAGGATCCTTTGAGATAAATAATGCCTGCTTTTGTTGTAGCTCCAGCCTAATTGTAGTGGAGTTGATTTTCAATCAGTGAATTGGGGTACCACATCAGTCACTGTAGTGTGCCAAAGTGTCCTTGGGCAAGACAATGAATCCACAGTGTTTACATTTTTTGGACTATAAAGTGCATCAGATTATAAAGTGCATCAGATTATAAGGTGCATTAAGCAAAACAAAACAGTCGGATAAGTCCAACGTTATTCAGCACATTCACAATAACTCAACATTGTTCAGTTGTACCACATAAAATCGGTTTGAGGTCAGTAAGCACAACCAAAATTAATACATAAGGCGCACTGGATTATAAAGCTCACTGTCAATTTTATTTTTAGAAAACTAAAGGATTTTAGGTGCACCTTATAGTCTGAAAAATATGATAATAAAGAAATGACTGTATGAGTGTGTATGTGAATGGGTAAATAAAAAAAAAACAATGTAAAGTGTTTTGTAGAAACATGAGAGGTTAAAAAGTCACTGTTTAAATCTGAACTACCAGTATTTTTTTTGACTTACTTACAATACTTTTAATAATAGTAATAATAATAATAAGGACAATGCAATTTTTATTTATGCAACATGCTTCAACTCATCTTCTATTTGATATTTAAACAGAATAATTATCAGGCCAACCCACTTTCTAAGTCTCAGCTGCACTATTTTTAGATGAACTAAATGGAAGAGCCTCTAGTGCCTTTTGTTATTTTGGGAATGCATTTTTAAGCTTTATTATAATCCAGATCATAATGTTATAAAGTTAATTACCAGCTTTTTCCTCTTCACGTGCAAATAATTCAATATGAATAATATATGTGATGAAGCCAGCTGTTAAACAAATTTACTACAATTTAGTCAGGCAAAAAACAATATATATAAAAAAATATATATAATTTTATATATATTTCCCCCAGAGATGGATGTTTGTGGGAAAGCTTCATTGAGGCACATCAGTATCATAGTTTATGAGTTTATATCTGTGACATTGTATTTGAACAGGAAAACTTCTTGGAAAATGGCTCATCCTTGTTGTCTTTTTCACGTTTTATCTTGCAGGATGTTGATTTAGATTTTCTTTAGTACGCTTACAGTCATGCTTACTGATTAAACTATGTGGGGAGTCTTGGCCACATCTCAAAACCCTGTGCGCCTCTTAGTTGAGATCAAACATTGTGAATATTTATGGTAAATGATGGCATCTTCCTCCTTAATATAATATTTGTGTGTAGCCAGATTCATAAGAATTAGAAAAAAATGTAATGCATGTTTTTTTTTTTAAATTTGAAAGATTATTTTCCTTTGGTTTTGTTGGCTGCTGCTACCAAACCACATAGAATCTTAAATTAGCAAGTACCTGACAGGACTCGCTCGGGATGAGAGAGAGGGAGTTACAGCTGCCTCAGAGGAGATCTGGGCGACTGTTCAGCTCTTTCAGTCTTTTATCCACAGGATATCCTTCTACCTGATCTACGATTGTCTCGGCAGCCCTCTGGAACGGCTACACAGGATGAAGTATATGCTTAAGACCGAGAGGGATCATAGAGCACATCTGGTAACGCTCATGTGTTGCATGGGTCAGTATTTATCTCGCAGCTTCCTTAAAAGATTAGTCACGTCTCTGCTTGCTCATTACGGATAACAAATCTGAGATCACGGAGCAAATCTCATTGTGTAATCTGAATCTGAAGATTTGAAAAGGCGGGAGGTTATCTGTGCTGTTAGTCTTGTGGTTAGAGTTTATGAAAGGCTGCTCATGCTCTGATGCGCTGCCATTAGAGGTTATGAGCTGGCCATTAATGCCATTAATGGATAGAGCATTTGAGTTTTTCTTCTTGCAATCGTTAAAGATTACTAATGGAAGTTATGGAGACGTGGAGGTAATGAGTCACAGCTGTAACTGTCTTGGATCCTCCTCGGAAACAGCACGGCAGTTTTAAAGAAACAGACTAGGACAACGTTCTCAGAAGAACATAATATAAATGTTGTCTTTTTATTAATCGTATAGTTTCAGGAGCCATTAAACGGAGCAGCTGTATTTTTTTTTTCCTCCCACATTGTTTTAATTTGCATCTGCTGCAAATCTGGTTTAACCTACATCCCATGCCGATAGATATCTGGTTGCTATGGCGATGACAACAAACAATAAAGACTGCGGCGCTCTGCATTTGACAGCTTTTAACAGAGAGGGATTCTGTTGTGAGAAATTGCATCTTTTCTGAGTTTCCTAAAAGTGTTTTATTTTATTTTTTTTATCTTTTAGTTTGACATCTTTCTTTTGCTTATTATTTTTGTTTTGTTATTTTTAAATGCTAAATAAAAATGAGTAATTCCGTTCATTTTTACATTTTGTTTGTTTTCTGTTATTATTTTTATAATAGATTAGTTAGTTGTTTGTGCTCGTTATATTGGCCTTTGACATTAAAAATTGGATTCAAACCCTCATTTTTAATGATCATTTATTGATTTATTTTGTTCCTTGTTGCTTTTCCTCAATTTAATTAATTAATTAATTTAATTTTGTAGGTTTTTGGACATACTTCGAAGTCAGCTTCTTTACTTTTTAATGCTGCAACAGTTTTTTTTAATCATTGTTATTTTTGTGATTTATTTTATTTTTATTTTGCCTGAGGTTTAGTGGTTGGGTGTGTGAGAGCGAATAACCTGTCTATACCTGAGTGTTTGTTGCACACGTTATGCAATGCCTTTCTAGCGTTTCAAATGTTTTTGTGGTTTTAAAACACATTTACTTAATTATCTTTAAAAAAAAAAAATCTAAACAATTTGCTTTGCTTACCAGAAAACAGATTAAAAACAATTGATTTGATATTTCAAGCACTATGGCAAACTATTGTAGATATCAAAATCTCTGTTTTTGCATGCTCTCTTGTACTACATTTAAGCCGAACAAGCAACAAACTAAGAAATGCTGCAAAATTAAGTTATGCACAGAGGTTTGCGCAAACAACTTTTGATTTTGTGAAGAACAAAATTACCAGAATGTTTTTCTTCTTTTCTTTCCTCCAGATGAAAGAGACAGAGTGCAGAAAAAGACCTTTACAAAATGGATAAACCAGCACCTGCTGAAGGTAAGAGTCCATTTCTGAGCAGTGTCTTCTTGGGCTGAACTAAAAATCCATTATTATTTTTACAATCTGCTTTTTGAATTTGCCCACATGAAGATGAGTTAATTTTGTAATAATGATGGAATAATTGCTGCATAATTGCTATAATTACCATTTGTCTGCCATATTTATCAAAGCCACTTTCCTGTAACATAATAAATGATTTCTTATTTCTCCTGTATGGGTCCCAACATGTTAAGATTCCTGCTCAGTCGTTATTGAAAATCATTTAGGTGGACATTTGTGACTGCAGCAACATGTTTGTTTTTGTTGAGTCGGGAGTTTGAGTCGCTCACAGTTTGTTTTATCAAAGTTTGGAATTTAATAAGACAGGTAGATGAGCAAGGGCATGTCTCAGCTGTAACATATTCACCAATATGAAAAATGTTTTTTTTTTTTTTTTAAAGTTTTGCAAGGATCAGTCTTGTTTATGCTGTATGTAGTAATTCAAAAATTAATTTTAATAGTGCGAAAGTTTTTTTTAATCAAAGGCCTAGCATTGATTTGTCTGTTAGCATTTTGCTATCAGACAAAGCGTGCTGATACCAACACAGTTTTAAGTAAATATGTTTTAACCTTTGTGCTGGGGAAGACTCTCTCTCAGCTACTACCTCACCCAGTTGTAGCCCAGTAGCTGAAAAATGGACCTAGTTATGGTCACTTTTGTGTTCGGTGCGTCTGCTTAGCTGTGGCAGCTAAAATCTGACTTATTTCAAAAGGCAATCAGTTGCAGATGTATTTTAAATGATAACTTTCTGAGAAGTTTATAAAAAGTTAATCCAGTTGTTTAGCTATTTTAAGGTTAAGGTTTCTTTATTTGTCGTTCGCACCACATGTAGTACATGTGGTGGAACAAAATTGTGTACACAAGGTCCCAGTTATATCCAACAAAAGTACACATTGTAAAGAAAAACTGTAATAAGATCTAAGATATGAACTACGAATATGCTAAACTAAGAATACACTAAGCACTAGTAGTCCAAAAACAATATGACAAACAACAGCAGCACGAACATGAGTCTATGTGAGCAGATGAGTACGAATGAACATAGCAGCGTGAAATAAATCAGCAGCATAAGATCAGCAGCATGGATAGTCAGCAGCACATATCACAATCAAGTGGCAATAAGTGGTATTTTGTCAACAAATGTGCACAGACACAGGTCAAATATTACCCCTCTTGCCTCTTGTCTTTCTACGGCAGGTATAAAAATCAACTTTCAAACGCTAGATAAGAATGTGAGTTGCTCAGTGTTTTTGTTGTAGCGGTCTTATCGGCTGAAAACTTGGCACAAGCAGTAAAAATATTCCACAGGTGTATCTGTAATGACAGACAAGGTGTGAGAATTATAATTCTTAGCTTTCAGTCTCTCCGTTAACTAAAAGAAACATTAAATTGCTGCGTTTACAGTAGATTGTGCAAACAGGTCCTTTTCGTCTCGGAGCGCTGAGTGAGCGCAGTGTCACAGTTGGCGTTGGTTTCGTGCGCTCACTGAACTGGAACTGGAATGCTGCCGTCTTCAAACTGATCAAGTCAACAGGAAGGAAGAATGACAGGATGAGGTGTCACAAATGACATCATTCATTCAGTCATTCAACGTTTATTTATACTGGTTATTCTCATTGAGCTTTGAGGACTCATTTACAAGAGAGACCTGTTTTAAACAAAGATCACAGATAAGGTACAGGCAACAATAGACGATAAAATGAAAAGTAAATAGAGGAAATTATATTTAAAAAATGAAACAAAACAGCTACATTATACAGCAATGTAAAAATTGAAAGACTTGTAAAGCATCGAAGCGGAGTGTGTTTTGCTTCTTAAATATGTGACTTTATGCCACTTCACTGTTTTGTGTTTGTGTTCTTTTTTTTAAATATGGGTCAAGTTTTATAATTGATATGAGTTGACAGGAGGTAAAAAAGACATTTATGTGGTGCAAATAATGCCAGATCATATTCACTTGATGATTTTTCCTAATAATGAGGATCTCCTGATTAAAAAAAAAAACAACTTTTATCAAATGTAAACTTGTTGGGCTGATGAACCATGTAACATTTGACACATGTGGACAACTGCTTCTGGTTTAAGGGATCGTATGACTGCACCGCCTACAAAGCACCGACATTCATTATGTTTTAATTGGTGATTATTTGTTATAAAAATAATTGTGACTGACCATTCAAAAATTTTTTTACCACTAATTGAATTACCACAATTTAACAGTTCCAGTCCTATATTTATCCACTTAATTAATGGAGTGGTGGCGCAGAGGTTAGATAAGGTGGGCCTGTGATTGGAAGGTCAACGGTTCAACTCCCTGGACCGACAACGTCAAAATGTGTGTGGGAAAGTTGAAGCACCCGCATCTGCCTCCACCCTCACTTTACCTTCTCTGGGTCCTTGAGCAAGGCCCTTAACCCCCACCATCTGCTCCCCCCGGGCGCAGCACTCTGCTCCACACAGAGGGTTGTGGTAGCTCGGTGGTTGCATCAGGAAGGACATCCGGCATAAAATCAATTGCAAATCTTCATACAAGTTATGACGACCCCTGAAGAAGGGAGCAGCCAAAAGAAGAGAAAAAATATTTCCACCTTTTGTTTAACAAGTATTTTACATTTGAAGTGAACTGATTGATTTAAATTTAAACTTTACTTGTATTTTTGACAGGCAGATGTCAGACCTCCTTTGCTCATTGTAATCTGCGTTTCAACAGATTTCACATGTGGTTATTAAAAATATCTGAGGTGCTGTGTAACTGTTCGGGATCTGAACAACAAAGTCCATGCTCAATAATCCAGGTATATAATCCAACATTTTTCAGTCAGGTCATCTGGACAGTTTCTTTTTTTGTGTGCTGAAACGTTTCGCCTTCAATCCAGAAGGCTTCATCAGTCAAGGAAACGCACAACAAAACTGATTCTTCCCCCAACAGCTTACTCCAAAGTGGAACAAACCAGCCTTCTGGATCGAAGGTGAAACGTTTCAGCACAAAAAAAATAAAATAAAAAGAAACTGTCCAGATGACCTGACTGAAAAATGTTGGATTTTATACCTGGATTATTGAGCATGGACTTTGTTGTTTTCAACCAGTTTGACAAGACGGTCAACAAGGAAGAGGGCCGGCAATGGAGGAGGGGCGTACCAAAGAGACCATCTAATCACAAGCAAAATTGGTTTGTTCCACTTTGGAGTAAGCTGTTGGGGGGACGAATCAGATTTGTTGTGTGTTTCCTTGACTGATGAAGCCTTCTGGATCAAAGGCGAAACTTTTCAGCACATACAAAAAAAGAAACTGTCCAGATGACCTGACTGAAAAATGTTGGATGTTCGGGATCTGCTTTGCTGATTTGATAAACGTGGAGGTCCTGGTCTATTTTGGCTCCACAGCTGTGGCTGCTATCTGGGGAAAAAAGTGCTGAACGTCCCGTGTGAAAGCGGGTCAACGGGCAACATGGTAGTCCCAGAGTGTCACATTTAGGACAGGAAGGAAAGGACCAGACTGCAGATAACAAGCACCTCACTCACACGTGTTTAGTTGAGGCGTTACAGTGGTAATCTGTAAGTTGTTTCTGCGCTTAATCAATTTTATCAACAAGGGGAAGTTGGAATAAACAATGGTAGCATGTTATCAACTCCATAAAGGTCTTTTAAAATCTAAAACTGTCTTTTAGTTTGAGTCCTGGTTTTGGTTTATTCAACCGACCTATGACTGAGTGATGTAACACTTTTTAAGACAAAATGAATCATACTCAAAGGATGTATGACAATATTAAAACAAAAATTAAAGACTGTAAAATAAATTCAGAAAAATGTATAAATAATGCCATAAATGGTTTCAAGTAAGAAAACCTTATAGCCCTATCCAGGGGTTCCCAACCCTGGTCCTTGAGGAACACCATCCTGTATGTTTTAGTTGTTTCTCTGCTCCGACACACCTGCCTTTAATAAATGGATGATTTACAGGCTTCTGCAGAACATGAGGAAATAATTAAATCACTCTGTCAGGTGTGTTGGAGCAGCAGGGAAACAACTAAAACATGCAGGATGGTGTTCCTCAAGGACCAGTGTTGGGAACCACTGAAAACAATAAAAAAGAACAAAGTAAAATTAACAAAATAAAAACATTGTTAAACTGGTAGAAATCAAATTGTATTGGTTTGTAAATGTAAATTGAGACTGTAAAGCTAAATCATTTTAAATAGTTTGTGTAATTTTTCTTCTGCAGGTACGGAAGCACATAAATGACTTATATGAAGACTTACGAGATGGACATAACCTGATCTCGCTGCTGGAGGTTTTATCTGGAGATACCTTGGTGAGTTCATGGTTTTCTGTTGTGCGGTGAGACCACAACTAAAATTAAATGAACGGGTGATATTTCATGTGGAAACCGAGGAGCTTGCAAAGAAAAGATGAATCAGATATTAATGAGGTATTAGAAGGTATTTTCCAGATATTGTGGAGTAGTCCTATGTTTTCATGGCAGATGCACAGACACTTTCCTCTTTACTCTTGCATAACTGATGGGTGGAGGGAAAAGGGAATCCTGGGTTTTTACCATCTGTGAGCAGATCTGCTGTTTTGGCATCAACATCACCCACTCGTGAAATTTCATATTTGTGAGGAAAGCTTCAAAGATATCCACAACTATGCATTTAAATGTAGTCTATAATAAATTAGCTAATTATCATTATGCTGTCCAATTTGATTTAAGTAAAATAAAGGAAGGTGACTTAGACTTGAATTTATAAAAGAAGGCCTGCTGTTTAGAAATCCTATAGGAATGAAGTGCACTAAAAAACATCAGAATTAAATTAAAAAAATGTTATTTTTCCATTTATTAAATGTAAACACATCAGGGAAAGTTTGAAAGTGAGGGGATTATGTCTGTGTTTTTCCCTCTGGAGTTGGAAACATGTTTTTAGCAGCATGTCCTTAAGAAAGTCACTAACAAGCTTTTCTCCCCCACTAGATTTCTTTTAAAACAAGTTACACACATTATCTTGAAACATTGTTCAGGTTTACGCTACAGGGTATGGAATATTCATTAAGATGGCTTTTTGATAGTTTTGATAGATTATATATTGATATTTTCCACTTATTGCATTAAAACAGACATAAATATCCAACAGTGTCATGAATAAGTTAAACTTATAGGAGATGCATTTAGCTACAGATCTGGCAGTATACCATATTTTTCAGACTATAAGACGCACCGGATTATAAGGTGTATTAAGCAAAACATAACAGTCAGATAAGTCAAACTTTATTCAACTCATTCACAATAACCACATAAAATCGGTTTGAGGTCAGTGAGCACAACCAGAATTAATACATAAGGCTCACTGTCAGTTTTTGAGAAAATTGAAGGATTTTAAGTGTGCCTTATAGTCCAAAAAATACGGTAGTTATTTCAGCTCTTCGTGAGGTTACATGTTCTTAGAAGGAAATTTTCAATCTACATTTTCATAAACTTTCATTAGTTCCATCTCAAAGTCACAAAACACACATTTTGAAGTGAACATTAAAAACAAACTTCAGTAAATTATAATTATTACGTAAACTGACAATTACTCAGAAACACGATTGTAAAAAGAGAAGTTCAATCTTTCATAATTTTTCAGAAATAAAATTAGCTTTATATTCTGTTAAAAACTGAGAAAGAATGTCAACATGAATCTTATTTCTCAATGTAAAGTTGCGAAACTTCGAGGGTTCCAATACCTATAATAAATATTATAATTAAATATTCCGAGAATCAGCATGAATGATATGGTAATTCTATCAAGTTGAGTCAAAAGCAACTGGATTTTTTTTTCTTTTTTTTTAAGAATTCAGAAATTCACAGATTATTTTTCACTGCATTGAATTAATTTAATCTTTAGACCTTGGTGTAGTTTTAAATTAAATATAGACGTATATTTTGTGGAAATGAATGCAAACTGCCAGTCATTAAAACAGTTTTTCACTGCATCTGCAATCACAGTTAAACCTCTGCGAATCAAAGAAACCATATTCATAAAACCTTTACTTTGTATTTGTGCAGTTTTAAATACTTTGCAGTTATTTTAGTCATCCATGCTTTATTTTTGTATGTATTAGGGATGCATTATATTATCGGCATGGTATCTGTATCGGCCGATATTAGTGATAAAGTTAAATACCGAACATCGGCCATTCCATCAAAATAACTCACCGATAAAAAAGACGCTGTTTATACACACACACACATTCATACGGCACTCTACTACTAGATCTATACAACGGTTACCGGTAATCAGTGCTTTATCACATTCATACACAGATGGGACATACATCGGAGGCAATGAGGGGTTCAGTGTCTTGCCCAGGGACACTTCAGCATGTGACTGCTGGTGGAATTGAACCCCCAACTCTTGCAATGGAGGATGACTGCTTTAACCACTCAGCCACAGCCACCCCTAACTCAACCACAGCCACCTCTATAAGGCGCTGTTTTGTTCGACAACCCAGTGACAAGGATGCTTGCACAACATTATGACGTCACATGCGCCATTGAGTTTAGATTTGTGAAAATTTACAAATTTGCATTAGTTGTCGTTGTGTTAGAGAGAGTAAATGTCATGAATGAATTTGACATTAAACATAATCCAAGTTGAAGTGTTATCATTTTCAGCCCCCTTTTTGGCATTTGCATTTGGTAGCAGGCCAAATTGACAAAGACTATGCAGAATAATGTAATATTTTATTTCCACAGCAGAGAAAGCCATGTAGTCTCTGTAAGTTGATCTAGGAAAAAAATATTGGTATCGGTTATCGGGTATCAGCCAAAAATCCAATATTGTGCATCCCTAGTATGTATTGTTTATAGCAGTAAACTGTGATGCTAATATGTGCATTTAAAGTGTGAGTGACAAATTCTTGTGCAAAGAATCTCAGCAGTTCCCCCACTCAGTTCCTCAGTGTGTCTTTCATCCTCTTTGTGTGTAGCTGTTTGGTTTTTATTTACATTCCTCTTTTCTCATGTCCTGCTCTCCATCCTTTGACCGATATCTGTCCGGTGTCCAACCTCCTCATGATTTGGTTGCCCTGTGTGTGTGTCCATGTCTTCCTTTTCTTCCTCATGTGTTGCCTTTTCGGTGATAAAGCCGAGGGAGCGTGATTTTCTGAAGACTTTGCGGTTGGTGAGTGGGACAGAAGCATGTGCAGTTGAGCAGCATGGAGACACGATGGATGATGATGATAAGGGGGTACGTGTGGTTTATGCCCCCCACCCCTATTCCCATTTGAAACAGACTAAATCAGATTGTGTTGTGGCCACTTTAAACAAACGGAAACAGTCAAACCAAATGATTTGTTCTTTTGATGTATTTTTAATCAACTGCAGCAGATAGTACTTTTTAGTATTTTTAAACGCTGCTTTATTTTTTGATTTTGTTGTAAGCGTGTGTTTTATAATGCATAAAAATAGGTACGCAAACAAAAGACCCAGGCACATATTTTTTTCTCTAGACCTCGTATTTAAGCCAGTGATAGAGCCCACATTAAGAGATTGTTTTAAAAACAAAAAAAATATAAAAAAAGTGATAAATGTTCACTGAATTTATCCATGAGCTTGGGTCTTTATGTCCATTTTGTGAGTTTGTACATTTTACAGTGGTGTTTGAACGTTTGTGAAGCCTTTAGAAATGTCTATATTTCTGCACAAATCTGACCTACAACATCATCAGATCTTCACACATGTCCTAAAAGTAGATGAAGAGAACCCACTTAAACAAATGAGACAAAAATATTATACTTTGCCATTTATTTATTTAGGAAAATGATCCAATATTATTTGTGAGTGTTACGACCCGGCTCAGCTAGGAGAAGGGGAGGCAACATTAGAA